GGGGGGGGGGGGGAATGGGAGGTGGGTGGCTGGGGCGCGTGCTCGGGGACAGCTTGTGCACGAAACAGCGGCTGGGCCCGGCGCGCCGCCGGCCGCGGACGATGAGGCCGGCGCTGGTGCGGCCGCGCCGCGCCTCGTGCCACTGGAGCGTCCCACTCTCATCGAATAGCCCCCAAAACAGGCCGCCAGGCACACCGCCCAGTGCCATCCGGCACCTCCCAGCACTACCAAGCAGTACCCAGCACCACCCATCGACAACCCCAGTGCCAACCCCGGCACACGCCCGCCCTCCACACCCACCTCCAGCAGGCTGCGCTGCGCCTTGACCACAAACTCCTGGTACTCCGCCTTGCCCTCCGCCCCCGCCATCCTCGAGAGCCGCGCCTTCTCAGCGTCGTCGGTGGCGCAGGCGGCCAGCGCCGCGAGGCTCTCTTTGTGGGGGGACGACAGCAGGTCGGCGAAGCAGGCCAGGGCGTCCCGCAGGGCGATGGGGCTGGAGAACGGCTCGGCCAGGCCGCTGCGGTGGGGGGGGGGATATCGTAGCCTGAGGGCAGCTCGCGGCGCGGCCCAAAACGAGCGTTGTAGAATTGGGCGCCTTGGGGGCGTGGCGACTCGCGGATGAGCCCCGTTCGCAAGCCGCCGGCTGCTCTGCCCCGCCCGCCGCCGCCGCGGCAGCCGGCCGTTCCCGCCATACTTGGTACGCTCAGCATCTTGCGACAAACGACGCGGGCAGGCGCGTGACAAGGCGCAAGGTGCGCGTGCGCCAAACCGGGGCGCGCCTGCGCGGCCCGCGGGCCCCACCTGACGCCGTCCTTGGCGGTCAGCTTGAACACCGTGTCCAGCGGCAGGCCCAGCAGCTCCGCCGCCTCGGCGATTACAACCTCGGAGTTGCGCGGCAGCACGCCCACGTGGTCCCCGGTGATGTAAGACAGCCCCTTGGCGCCGGATATGTCGATCTCCACGTGCACGCAGCTGCGGCCGCTGGCCGAGGTGTGGAGCTCGCGGACCGCGGTGACGGTGGCCAGGTGGGGGGAGGACGCCGAGGCGCCGGTGCCGCTGCGGAAGGGGGCGGCCATGGCCGACTTGGCGATCGGGCCTGTGGGTGTGGTTGGCAGTGGTGGTGGGTAGGTGCCCCAACTGATGGGATTCGGGCCGGAAAGGTGGGTGGTAGCGCAAGGTGGGCGCAGCAACGGAGCCCCAGGTGCGTGTGCCGTTCAGGGACCACATCCGCAATGCACAGTTCCTGAGGCGATTCCGCAAGCCCCTCGGGTTACCCAACAGCAACGCCTGGCACTCCGCACGTCCTCCCAAACCAGCGGTCCAGATCCGCAAATTAGGCCCCCCCAGCAACAGCCCGGCCCGCGCACCCTCGATGATCTCAGACAGGTACTCCGCCGACGCCGCCGGCGCCGCGGCCGCCTCGCCCGCGCCCTCGCCCACGCCCGCGGCGCCGCCGACGAGGTGCGCGTGCGCGCCGCCCAGAGCCTCATAGAGCTCTGCGCTCCACTTCTCAAAGTCGTCGTCGATGCAGTCGTCGTCGTCGCCGTCGCCGCGGCGGACGACGGCGGTGGCGCCCAGGGCGCCCATCACCCTCTCCATGCGCTTGCCGACTGCGTTGAAGTGCTCGTATTGCTTGTTGCCCAGGCCAAACACGCCGTACGACACGCCCTGAGGGCGCGCATCACAAAAAGGAGCAGAGAAGCCAAAGCAATGCAGGTCAAACATAGGTTTTTTGGTGTTGGGGTCTGTGCCGCACGCAAAACGAGGCGCGGCCAGATGCAAGCTGGCACGGACCCAGGGGCCTCCTGGCGCCCGTGGGGCCGCGCCAAGAACACCCCGCCCCTCTTGCGCAGGGGCGCTCCCGCGTCGCGCATGCGCACCTGCATGTAGGGCTCCTTCTCCCCGCCCTCGACGGCCTCGCCCTCCGCGCAGATCCAGCTGTAAAAATCAGCCGCGTTGTCTGTCGGCTCGCCGTCGCCGTAGGTGGCCATCAGGAACAGCACCAGCTGCTCCTTGGACAGGCGCTGCTCCCAGCCCTTGTAGTTCTCAATGTCAGTCACCTGGGTATTGTTTGAATGGGGGAGGGGGTGTCGGTCGTGCGGGGGTAGGGTAGGGTAGGCGGGGTAGGGTTGTTGGCCGGTGAGCACCACAACAACGGGATGGCGAGAGGAGGGGAGTGTCACAGGCATGCAACCAATGCTAGGCTAGGCAAGGTTGCCGTGAGTGGGCTGCCCTGTGCGCAACCAGGCGCGCTCGTAATGGCGCGTCAGGTGACCGCGGGCAGCGCGCGTCGCACCTCAACGACGACACCGCTGCCATACTTGCGGCGCAGCTCGTTGCCGAGCGCCTTGCTGAACCTCTCGGCAGTTCCCGTCTGCGTGCCGTAGAGGATACGCACAACGGGCTTGGAGTCTTGCTCCTCGACGGCTTCGACCTGCACCCGCAGCTTGTGAGCAGCCCCCTTCTCGCTGAGCCCCGAGGGCTTGGATCCCTTAAGCTTAAGTATGAGTACCACCACAAAACCGACCAGCGCCGCTGCCAGAGCAGCGAGCTGCACTAGCCCTTCCATCAGCGCGGTGACTGCGCTCAGGTAAGGGTAAGAGGCCGTCGGATAAATGTCAATACGCGTAGTAACAATCGTATACGATGCCAGTATGCGGCGTTAGCCTTGCACACGCAGGTGCCCGAGCAGCGAAGTGAGCTAGGTGACTCACTCCAGCCCGGATGAAGAATAAGGGGTACGATCAACTGCCGTGCGAGGTATCGCTAGGAGTACGATTTCCTGTCGACTAGTGTCTGTCTCGTGTTGACAGTTCGCCTCCTCGTAAGCTCACCCTTGCAGCAGTCACACTCAGCAACCCACCGCTCGCGAGCACATCACACAGCGCGCTGCTGCTCTTGCGCTGCACCTCACACTCCATCGGCGTTCCCCACGAAGGAACCTACACCATGCGTCCTCCGTCATCCTGCATGGACCTCATTACAGGTGTGAAAAAGGGCTCCCGCATCACCATCGCCGCGCACATACAAGTCGCGGCCAGCTGCACAAACACAGAGACGGCCCTGGGGGCGTGGGGCCTGCGCGCACGGCCATGCTTGCGCCTGCCCACGGTGCGCGGAGAGAGTCGCGCGCGCGTGTGCGCGCCCGCACGCCACTCCCTCACTCGGCCTCGCCCTCCGGCAGCGCGCCGTGCTGCTTGAGCACCTCGATAGCCTCGGTGACCTTGGACGACAGCTCGGCCGGCTCCTCCAGCAGCATGACAACCTCGGAGTTGTCCATCTCGAGGAGCATGCCCGTGATCTTGCCT